CCCCAAAACCCCAAAACCCCAAAACCCCAAAACCCCAAAACCCCAAAACCCCAAAACCCCTTCAATTAATGTTTAATTGAGAATTTTCATATAATTTTATAAAATGACTACGAAAATGGTAAGTTTTTATAATAATTCTGTCTAATTTTGAAATATAGGTGCCTGAAATAGGTAAGAAGCGATAGAACATAAAGGTGTCAAGTTTCCTGCTAAATCAATAGGGTTGGCCTCCACTTTTAGTACATTGACTCAAGTGTAGAACCTGTCCTTTGACATTCAGCAAGTTAGTTTTAATAGAATTTAGCAGCAGGACTCTTTTGAGTTATCCTTAGCATATGCAGGAAAAGTGTTATATCTAAAACTCATTTTAATAATCTATTCTTATCCCTAATAATCCGTTCTAAAATTGCAAGTATTATTCATAATAAGATTGGGCTATTTCTTCACCTAATCTTTCTTTTGAAAACCCTATGAAAATGTCAATATCTTAGTCTTGTTAATCACCTTCATGCTTAAACCAGGCCTGGAGTTCTTCCAGGCCTGGGCAAGACTCCTTAATGCTGTGAGGTACCTAAAATTTTATAGCTAAGACAAAGTCTTGAATGATGAGGAGCATGGTTTTTGACGACCAAAGTTTGTAAGTATCTCATACCTAAAATTATCCTAAACCTCTTCATAATTTATGCTAGGTTATGTTATTGTGTTCGAAGTAGATCTGGGACTCAACCTTGAGTTATTTGCTGAAATTTTAGCCTAGCTCTTCTTATAGTGCTGGGCCAGGACTTGAGCTGCTGTAATGTAGCTTATCATCATTTTGTACCCACCTACTGGTGTTACAGGCATAAAATTCTACTAAATATTGACTGGGAATAACCTAAATTGGAATTTATAAAATATTTTATTATCAACAAAGGTTTGAATGTGTTCGAAAATTTTCTTAGATTTTTCCTTAATTGCTCGCTGGGCCAGATGCTAATTTATGACATATAGGAATGACTCTGAGAAGTAAGAAGGAATATAGTTGATTCAAAGACAGAGTGTGCACACTTGAATAATAGTTAATATTTGACTTAGATATTATTTCATTCTGTGCATTAGAGATCCGAATCTCGATAAGCACACCAGGTAGTTCTAGATGAAGCTATCTGATGTGCAGACAGATTATTTAGTAAAAGATAAGAGGCATCTTATGCTTTTATGTCAACTTTGGCTTTTGATATATTTTAGTTAATTTGGTGTCAACGGAATGGGCATAACTTAGTCACAAATTTATTCATATTTTTTGTTTTTAATGGTGAAGTTTCAAATCTATTTATATTTTGAATATAATAGTTATTACTCACAAAGTTTGGTAAAAGTGATTACATTAAAATAACTATACTCTCGATCTCTAAATTTATTCCTATCTGTTTGGAGTCGTGGTGCTGGCATAATCGGTAAACACACTCAGAATTTCATAAAATATCTCCCTCTTTTTGCAAAACCTCATTGAAACCGCGACCATGCATTCAATTTCTTCTCTGTATTGCGGTCTTAGATAAGGTATTTGCTCGCTCCAATATTTCAGATTTGCACCTAAATAAAACTGTAGCATGGTCCAAACCAAATCATAAGCAACAGACTGTAAATATATTTTATAGCGAAGATGACTATTTATACAAGTTAACACCAAATAAATCTCTAAAGTTTGAATCTGGCAGGTAAAGATTTATTAAAGCATTGCATAACAGCCCTCTAGCTTTACAGCTGCAAATATGGTAGATGACCAGTCAGAAATCAAAAATCGCAGAACTTCGAGAGAGAAATTCAGACGAAGGGGATCTCAGATGTCCAGATTTAACCCTGCCACGGCTGATCAGAATATGTACTTCACATCTCATACGACTTATGGGAGTACCAAGAGGGGAAAGAAGAGCAAGAAGAAGCTGCAGAAGGTCGAACCACAGAGTCAGAGTGTCCCTAGAACCACCTTAGACCGCCTTGCCAACCCTTTTTACTTTAAGCTGGAAGGAGTCACTAAGAAAGGTAATCTGCATTTCTAACTCTTAGTGAGGGAATATGTCCGTCTCTTTGGCACCAAGAACAATCTTGCCAAAATGAAACGTATCAGGAGTAAGCTCAGAGTCAAGAAACGAACCTTCATGGATGAAGTCATCACTGGAGATTCTCTTAAGAAAATCCAGCAAGACCTAGCTCAAATTGAGGAGAAAAAGCAGTATGAAAGAGATCTTCAGGGGATTATTAAAGAGTCTAAACTAACTGAGAGACTGACAAAGCTAAAGTCTCTTCAGGCCAATGAGTTCTTCAGGTTTGGTTTACATTAATCTGTCATAGGCAGAATGGTTTTCACAGGAAATCTATGAGAAAAATTAGATCAAAGAAGAAATCTGTGAAGAAAGCTCAGAAGAGGAGTAGTAATGACCTCCCTCTAACTTCTGGGTTCAAGGACCAATTCTTAGCTCCTAATTTGCATGGTGATTTCCAGAGCATAATCCAGTGCCCTGCTGAAAACATCAAGGAGGATAATGAGTCAGACAGTGAAGAAGAAAGCAATGGATTCAAAAGTGAAATTGACTCCTCTGATAGCTTTGGGTAAGTACCAATCGAATTTGTGATTTCTCCCAATCTTATCTAACAAGCAAGCTGAGAAAATACATTTTATGTATAGGTCATCCAGCCAAGATTTTTCTCAAGCTATGAAGTCTCTTGGCTCAGCTTTTAAGCAACCGAGTGGAAACTTAAGAGTGAGATTGGGAAAGACAGGCGAAAAGTTGATGATCACAGTTACAGATGATGAAGTACATTCAACTCTGAAGGGAACTAAGCCAAAAGCTGTCAAGCGTAAGCGATCAAAAGTAAGTTACTCCTTACAACATAGTCTCCTTTGCTAAAGTCAAATACCAACATCAATATTAACTCGATGTTAGAAGAACTAGTCAACAATAATCCTTTCGAAGGGACTGATTCCTTGATGACTATTGATGAGGTAACCAATTCTCCAAAGGCTGCTAGAAGAAAAAACAGCAATGGATTCAATCTCATCATCAAAAAGGTGGAGAAAGAGCCTGAGAAAATTAACAAAATAATCTTTCAGGAACTATACAAGTATTATGTAACCTGGCCTGATAATCTTTCTAGCCTAACAGTAGGATGCAGAAGAGACTGAAGAACTTTAAAACATGGAAGTCCAGGTCTCCTGACAAAGCTAATGTTGATGGCCAATGTGCAGTAAGAATTATCGGTCAATTTTAGGATGCCCAACCAGTTAAAACATTTAAGAAGGAGAAAGCTCAGCGATCGAAGCACAAATTTGGACAAAAAGATTTAACTCTTGAGCCACCTAAGCAGCTTAAATTGAAATCCTTATCAACTTTACTATTGAAGACTGTTGATAAGAAGAATAAAAGTAACCCGTGATCTGCACTATTAGGGCCGAATATGAATCATCGGCATTCGACAAAGCTGAAGGTAAGTTTCATGTTAATTATTCTGATATATCTCATAATTTAGGAAAGAAAACCTCGAAATTTATACAAAAGCAGTTCACAGGGACAGATAAATGCTGAGAGCTCCAAATTTATCCCAGAAAATTGCCAAAAGATTCTCCTAAAAGAGGATATTTCCCAGTTGAAGCTCAACAGCACTTGTAAAAAGTCGAACAAATTTCCGAGTGTTTACCGAAGCACGCAGTCTAGTGTCTACTCAAAAAGCAGAAGGGAGGATTTACCGAAGAAAAGTGTGAGGGTAAGCCTTCCTTGCACCCAAAAGATTGCTGAAAAGTTGAGTAGTTTCCTGTAATTTCAACTATGATTGGAATATTCGGGGTTTTGGGGTTTTGGGGTTTTGGGGTTTTGGGG